CAGAAATACATCTTTAATCTGATAATAATTTTCTGCTTGGTAAATACAACCTATCTAATTCTCTTTAAGAAACAGACAGTATCAAAACATCCTCATTAGCAGGCAGAATGACTGCACACTTATTTTCATGGTTTCTCTAGTATCTTCCAGTTCTTTCTCCCAGGGCAAATCTAGGCCAAGCTCTTACAAACGTTCCCTTTGAACAGGGAACACTGATTCTTTATTGCCATCTAGTGACCAAAGCCATTTCCGCTGTCACACCAAAAAATCCCTGAATTGCAAACCTGGGGAATTTTGAAACCGACGAGAGCAAAAGAGAAAGGAAGCTTGCTTCTCACCGTTAACTTCATGCTACCCTGTTCATATCCCTTATGGACCCTCAGAGCTCAGATTTGCAGTGTGTAGGCCACTGTCGCCTTCATAACAGTCCTTTGTCTCTGCAAACGAACAGGTCCTTTACCCTCCCTCTAGAGCGCAGCAATTTAGAAAGGCGTCATTCTGCAAAAATGAGTAGCCGTGTTTTGCCCCCAGCGAGCTCACAGAGCTTGGGAACAGGGGTCACCTTGCTGGATAGGGTAAGCACAGCACCTCCAGGACCTGGGCAACATTTGATGTAGCTGTAACAGCTATTTCCTCACCTTCGGAGAAGGAAGGTGTTAAATTGTGTTCAGGTATTTTCAGAATCCTTCAGAAAGGTATTTTCATTTGGCTTCTATTTTCTGGGGTCTCACACGTGGTTCTCCTGCTGAGACAAGCTCCTAGCAGCTAGCTCTCGTATCTGCACCCAGGGCACCGAAGCATGCCGGAGGAAGACTTTAGGAGTGCTCCAGTCCTTGGACGCTTGGCTTGCTGGTCTCTTTAACCAGATGCTGTTGTCTTTAACCTCGCTGGGAGCCTGAAGTTATTAATTACTGAATGGTCACAGTGCTAAGCCTGCGTAGCCTCGGAGCGGCAGGGTGACCGCGAAGCGCTGCTGCGCAGCCCGGGAGCAGGACACACATGCTGGCGAGGCGGCGCCGCCCCCCCGACCCGCAGCGCGGCCTCCAGCCAAGGGGCAGGGCAGCTCGTGCGGGTGCCACCGACAGCCACATGCTGACACTGCGACACAGATTTCCAAAATAAGCCCTGCTGTGCTTTTTCGTGCAAGTATCGCTTCCTTAATAAGCTAGGCCTCCCTCCGCCGCCTCCCCCAAAACAAGGTTGTAAGGGTAAAGCTGGCCTTGTGCTCTCATGTAAGTTTTGTGACACTTTTCAGATGCAGCCACTTTGGGTCCTGTCTCGCAGGACAAGGTGTGACCCCATGGCTGGCCTGTGCTGTCAGGCTAACCCATGACGAAGTGCAGCGTTAGTCTGCAGCTGCCTTGTGATAACAGGGCTGGTGCAAGCACCATGCCCTTCCCTGCCTGTTCCTGGCCATTTGCTATCCTGTCTGCTAAATTGGGCTGTTTCTAGGTGCAAAGCATCTTCCTTTGCATTTGGGCAGCAAAGCTTTCAAAGTTCCTTTTCAAAAGGGATGAGAATGTTTTCACATCTTCCTCTGTATAAAGATTTAGATTGTGGAGCATGAGTTGCCTGCCCCGTTTGTGTCCAAACTTGTTTTATTCATTTACTGTGGATTCTCTTCAGACTATGTTATGCTTACCAGCCCTCTTCAAACAGACCTCAAAGAATAGTAAAGAAAGAGTTCCTGGGATGCCTGATAAGTCCAGCTTTGCTGGAACCTGTAGAGGCCCCAAAATACACAACACAGTAAGAGAGCTTATGCTTGTGTGGAGATCCATCAAGTCCATTGCTGTGACATGTATCAAAGAATACTAAGAATACTAAACTATGTGAAAGTCTAATGAGTGCAGAATAAAAGAGGATAAATTTATGCATAGAGGCTTTAACAGACATGCTTTCACAGCCCTTTCCTCTGCCCTCAAATACAGAAAATTCCGTTTCAGAGCACCATGTTCAATGTTAGACCTTCTTACCAGAAGTTCAGAACAATTTATTAAAAGCGTAAAATAAACCTCAGTGAGAGCATTGTCTTAGATTGTGTTTGAAAATCCCTTCTTAAATGTGGTCAGAGTACTCCTGCAAGCTTTCAAAGGCAATTCACTAGACACTGATCAGCAAAACAGCTGGGACTGCCAGGGAGTGGAGTTACATACTCTTGGCCTTTGAGTAGCAGTTGCAGATTCAGATTAATGAGGCCCGAATGCATGTAGCAAAAGCTGTTGATTGTTACAAACAGTCTCTATGATGCAAAGGTTAAGGGAGCCTGAGAAGTCACTGACATAGCCACTGTCCCACTCAGCATGCTGCCACTAGCCCAGTGGTTACAAGGCTGGAAGCATCTACTCTCGGAACGTCCACTGGTGCATTTCAGCTCAGTCATGCCCATATAGACTGGCTACAATATGCATAAATGAGCCTGGGCCCTTGCTGATGCACTGAGAGAGTTTATGAACTCAGCCTGACATCACATCCCATGTGTGCTTGTGCATAAATGATGCAAATATCAAAAACTTTAGATCTGAGCAGTAAGATATTACTCAAATTACAGGTCAGCATATCTACATTTGTTCCAGCCATGAGCTTGTAAGATTGAACACTATTAAAGGTGAATGAGAAGAAAATGGCACCTTGTAGTAAAATTGTTCTGTTAACATGTTTTAGTGTTTATTGATGTAAGATGCCAAGCAGCAAAGACTGCTTCATAAACATTGACAGACATTAGCATAAAGCATCCACTGTTCATGTTTAACTGTTCCACCATTGGGCTCTATCAGTTTCCATTTGTGTGTCAGAAGATGAACACCCTCAGTTACACTTGGATGTGTCTACAACCTCCCAAGACTAAGCTGTTTGAGCTAGCCCTAGGTTCAGTGGTTCACTGAAGTGAAGGAGAGCAGGATTTAATGTGTTTTAACTTCACTGGGCCATGCCCTGAAAAACACTAAGGTCTCAGCTCTCACTGAGGGCAAGCAGAATTGGTGGTGCTTAACATGACAAGGAATTCTGAATTCCTTATTTCCTTCTTGCCCACAGAACAAACATTTTTAAATAAGCTGCTCTCCTTACTGAAGTGGGTGGAAGAAGAACGTTCCTAAGGCAAACTTAGACAGAAATATTTGAAATTACAGCAGCTGTTGAGCCCCCATCACTTTTACAGTTTTCTGGTGAAACCTTTTAAATGTCTCTCTTGATAAGGAATAAAAATCTGAGTCGCTCTTTATTCTTGATCCAGAGTAGCAAGTCACTTTTATTTGTTGATAAAGCTACTGCATTTTCAGTGCCTTTTGCTAAAGCTGAGCTGAAGCTTCAATCTGAAGACATGCCTCTATTTCCAGATTTAATCATGAGTGCTGTAGAAAGAGTCTTCTGTAAAACAAACAAAGCCCGGTTATGAGTGTTTTTAAAGTTTCTGTTTTACAGCCTTCCTATGTCATCACTCAGTTGAACAATATAAAAAAACCACAATGCAAGTCAAATAATCCATGTAATTACCATGTACTTACTTTTCTTTCAAGACTAGAGTCCTGTAATTCAAAACTAGACAAACGCCCTATTTCTCACTTTGGTGCTTTCTCTCTTTAATTTACTAGGAAAGTCTTATACGGAGAAGCAATACCTCATTTACTAAACCAAGTAGAAAAAAGGACAGATTGAGAACAACTGCTTTCAGTTTCACTTAATTAATTGGACTGAGAGGAAAAAATACTGCTTAGGAACTGAAAAGCAGAGGGGACGTTAGCAAAGAGAAGTGTTAAGATTCACAGCCTGTCTGGGACAGAATGACGAAAGAGACTTACTTACTGCCTATGGATCAGTGCAAGCTCAACTGGAGGTATTGTCTGTCATAATTACATCAGTGCTTCTACTAAATATGCAATTTTTACTGTGGAGAAAAAATAATTTTACTTCTTGTCTTCTGAAACTATTCTTTAAGTCTCCATTCAGTGTTGGAGCAGACAGACCTGGGACAGAACATCTGTTCTGTGAAATCTTTTGTGCTGATCTCTGCTTACAGTAGGGAAGGTACTGCACTGTTCACAGTAGCATAACTTGAGAAACACAATATGTATTACTCTGAGTCAAGAGTGAAAACATACTGGCTCTGAAGCAATGCTTGCTTAATGCAACCTCATGGGAACCCACTGTGTTGGAATCTAAAGAGCTTTGTGATACACTAATTACCTTACCTAGATGCGCTTCCTTTGCAAAACATCCTATTTTTCCTATTAACCCAATGTAGAATAATCCTGAATGATGAATTCTATTCTAAGTTTCTGAAATTCTGCAGTACCTGTTTCTCCATGGCTTGATTTTTGTTTCATCCTAGAATTTTTCAAAGATGTCAAACGTAGACATTTGATCTAGAAAAATAAGTAACAGTCATCTCAGAGGAGGATTTAACATTATATTCAACATACCATCATATCCAGGAGGGAGGCAACTGGGCCCCTTTATTGGGATGGAAATTTATCTAGAGCTCCATCTCTGATGCTGCTGAGATATAATCATACTATTTGCTTAGCAGGCCCAATATCAGCCTTCGTCAAATAAAGACTGTTGCTGAAGACTTTTCAGAATTTGAGTTTAAAATTAATGGCTTAAGCCATGGTTATTATTCTCCTAAAACTTAAGCAGACTATAGGCAACGGATCTTGTTTGTGTAGATGTGAGCATAAATAGTCAATGGAATTAACAAATTCCATGCTTTACAGAGAGAGTGTACCTATGCCCAGCATTTCAAGAAGCTATGGAATTCAGAAATGGGCACTGGGACCCCAAGCAGTGTGGAGATAGGTGACTCTGTAGGTACAGTCCTTTGCATGTAGGAGGCCAAATCCAATGTGTCACTTCTCACCTCATGCTTCTGAAGGGTTGGAAGTGGCAGAAGAATGTTGCAATGGGCACAGGTCACCAGCATGTCAAAAGAGTGTGCGTCTTTAAGAGCTTGAGGTGATGTGGAAAGTCCGCCTGTTGTAGGAGAGGGAAAGCCAATCTTTTTGTCCTTTGAGGGTTTAAGCAAGGTTTTGGAGGTCAATGAGCGGTCCCTTTCTTTCCTTTTGGGACGGACATCTTTCCATGCCATTGCATTCTCAGAGCAGGAAGAGGGAGCCAGGGAGGAAGAAGACTGTGGTGGACCACTGCTGAATTTTGAAGTTGACTGGCCAGCAAGAACCTTTGTCAGCTTATGGGCTGCACTGCATTTATTCTGTTAAAAGAAAGCACACATAATGAGGTGAAGATTGGCATTACACCCAGCTGTGTCATATATTGTCATTTGTGACAGACGTGAGTAATGAGGAGGGACAGTGGACACCATCTCACAGTGATGCTTCAGCTGAATACACTGTATCATGAAACTATAGTTTGAAGAGCCAAGACACATTGCCCTTTCTTACCTTTTAGCTTTTTTACCTTATAGCTTTTCAGAGAAATAACCTGGCTGGAAATTAAGCACAGACCATTCTCTTGTTCAGTCTCAAATGTGCTTACCAGATGTTGGGGGTACTGATCATCTGGGAATTACTTATTGCAATTCTGACAAAGATTGCCACCACTACTTTCAGATGGAAAAAAAAAAGAGAAACACAGTACTGACCCTAGTCATCTAGACAGGCTGCTCAGACCTACTTATGGTCACTGGTTCTAGAGAAACACAGAATACTGATTCCACTAGCCAAGAAGGAATTAGAGCTGTGACTACATTTTGCTCTTGGCACCACTCAAAACCAATCCACCATCCCTTCTCACAACGTTCAGGATATTTGAAATTCCTCTCCAGCCCCATGTTTTGTGTCTCAGGATGCTTCACTCCTACTCTGGCCTAGCTAATTTTATAGAGAGCAAAAACCCCTAGCAACAGTTTATTTTGCCAGCCACTGCACCTACTGATGCCTGTTCTTTTCTGGAATTATTGACAAGATTCATGAATTTTTTTGTCTTGACATACTCTGTCCAATACCTTAGGCCTAATGAAGCTGCTCTCAACTTAAAAGAAATCAAGGTATGCATCACAGGCTTTATATATGAAATCGCAGGAGATTCTAAATCATATCTTTTCCTATGTGACACATAGAAAGAGGAAGAAGTTCTACTTATTTTCTGAGAGAAGGAATTTCACTTCTAGGATATAGAGGAGGCATAAAAGAATATGGCCAATGAGCTACCCGTCAGTGGAACCACTCTAGCTTTACAATAACCAGCATAATAGAAAGCAACACTTGGCCCTTCCACTGTGGTTAGTTAAACAACAATCCCCTCCAGCCTGGATTACTGAAAATTGTAGAGCAGGCAGGAGAATTTTCATTGAGATTTAACAGAGTTGACCCAGTCCATGACAGTGAGGAATTTTGCTTACCAGTGGGGCAAATAAATGTTGCATTAGTGGATGCTTCACTCGTTTGAAAGTTCATATCCTTCTGATAAGACAGACCACTGTTCTGACAAATATCTTTGTGTTTGTTCTGGTCTTTGTACATGATGTATTTGTTACTCTCCCAATACCACTCTGTTCGTCTTGTACAGGTGTTCAGGTGTTCCTGCAGATTGTTGAAAGGCATTTCAAGCTCACAGATCTTGCATTTCATTGCTCATTTGTGGTATTCCTTGGTCTACACATGAATAGAGGAACTGATTGCAAATTTTCTATCAAAACTAAGAGGGCATTGGGCAAGAGCAATGAGTGACTGTTTAAGGGGTATCTACACAACCAAATGCGGTCTTAGCTGGATTAGGAGTTTGCCTATCTAGACTATCTTTAATTTAGGATGATTTAAGGCAAAATGGGAATCAACAGCGGTGAAGATGTTCTTTGTCAGTACAGGTTAGCAGCAGAGCACAAGCCCACTTAGAAAATTCCAATACTTCAGCTACCACCACCAGGGGAAGTCTTGCTGTGTCTTCACTGCTTTGGTTCCTTGAAATGGTTAGACTACAGCTAGCATGGAGAGGCTGCTCTCCCTTCTCAGTCCCTGCCAATTCTTTTGTGTATCTCCTCCTTAGCTGTTTTCTTGACTCTTACTTTGTACAACCATTCCTTTGGAAAAGCAGGTAATATGAGTGTGGAGGCAGGATGGAAACATCTTTGAAAAGCCTTCAAAGAACATCAGCTTGAGGTGCCAAGGATAAGAAAGTAATAGATTATCTCCTGGAACAGACTGTCCCATCACAACTGGATGGGCAACCACCATGAGATATACTTATTTACAAGGGGAAAAAGGTATGCCAAAACACTGCAACTGTTGAGAGGTTTAAGTTTCTTCATGGTCCAGGATGTACATGTTTTTGCTGCTATAGTGTGACTCTTGGTGGCTGGTCAAAGGGATCAGCCTAGTATGTAAAAAGTACTGCACACCATAGTTACCTCATGATGCTCCAACTAGTACTGCTGCATGCTTTGGTGACAAAAACTACATCTGACCTGCAAGAAAAACATCCAGTAGTTCACTGGGAGCATAGGAGGATGGTTAATGCTTTCAGATGTCAATACAACTCCAAGCTACAGAGATGATCTTCCTGCCATTTTCAGCCCAATCATTGACAAGCTGTTGGTGAATTTTTGTTTCTCTGTCAAGCCTGAGCTGTGTTGATGAAATTTTGAGGAAAACAATGTGGTGGGTTGACCCTGGCTAGACGCCAGGTGCCCACCAAAGCTGCTCTGTCGCTCCCCTTCTCAGGTGGACAGGGAAGAGAAAGTATAAGAAGAAGCTTGTGGGTTGAGATAAGGACAGGG